ATGAAAAGAAAAAAAAAAAAAAGAGAATTTTCATAATAGCATGTGAACTACAACCTGTTATCTTATTATTTGTTATCCGCTATTAGCTAATTCTATATATTTTCAAGTAATTCGCTTTATAATTTTAGACTCGAGTCCGCCCTGGAGCAGTTGAGGGACACGATGCCTGCTGATGGAACATCACGACATGAAGACCTCACAAATAGTCCTCGTAACACAATACAAACATACCATACACAACTTAGAAAAATAAGCGTTAACAATCCGAACGAGCCAAATACCACTCCAGATCCTCCTAATATAATCTCAAGCAAACTCACAGTTGACCGACACTCGCTCGAACAACAGAATCCTCCTAGCCGCGTCCAATTTCTCCCTACAATCGACTCGAAGGTGGTTAAAATAAATCACCACTGCCGTTAGAACTCTGTCATTCCCCAAAATAGCAGTTCAGAAAAGGTGGTTAAAATAAATCCGGCGAGGATGCTGGTGGCCATGGAGGCCTCAATTGGTAGAAAAGAGTCCCTCAGCTGTAGTGCTGTAAACGAACCGAACCGACCGAGCTTGAGCTGTTCGAGCTCGTGTTCGTTTACGTTCGAACAGTGTTCGTGTTCGTTCATTTATTTTTCGAGCAAAAAATCGTGTTCGAGCTCGTTCGTTTAATTGTTCGTCAAAGTTCGAGTTCGTTCGTGTTCGAATAATTTAATACATAATTTTTTTTAATATATTTGATTAACTCGAAATTTGTTCGTTCGAACTCGTTCAAACTCGAAAATAAAAGAATAAAATAGAAATATTTTTATATTTTAGATTTTTTATTAAAAATATGATGTAAATATATGAAAAATAAATAAAATTATATCAAATTTTAGATACTTTATTAAAAATATTATGCAAATATATAAAAATAAAATAAAATAATTTTAAATTAATGTTCGCGAACATAATCGAACGTTCACGAACGAGCTCGTGTTCGTTCACTATTAAGCGAGCCCAACTTTCTGTTTGAACTCGGCTCGATTAACAAACGAACGAGATTTTGTCGAACACGAACGAGTTCAAACGAGCTTTTGTTCGCTAACGTTCGATTCGTTTACAGCTCTAATGTCAGTTTTGTATATTATTTTAGAAAATGGAAGAAAGGATTTATTAGTGGGCCACGTCTTTGGTCGGCCCAACACTAACATGGGCCACGCCTTTGGTCACCTACAATTCATATTTTTTTATTTGTATATTTACGAAAAAAAAAAATTATTTTAACTATAAATATATTAACCGAGTAGTTGTATATTTAAAAAGTTTTTTATTTTTACTTGCAAATACACTAATTCTTGTATCTGTGAATGATTTATTTGTATCACTATTTCAAAATTGCATTGTCTTTTTAGTTTATTATTTATTTATGAATGATTTATGTATGGTTTAATTATGAATGATTTATGTATGAATTAATTTTGAATGTTGTATATTTATTAAAAAAAAAAAAAAG